CCTTTACAATAGCAGCAATGCATCTATCCTAAAGTAGAAGTGTTGAATTAGAACACTAAATAAAATAATATGCTAACTTAAAGAGGGTTCATGTTAATGCTGAATGGAGTAAGTTATGCAACAAGCAGGAATATTTAGAATTCTCTACTGATTGCCCATTAACTGTTAGGAATTTGACAGCTATCTTAAAGGCAAAATGGATTGAACGCCCAGGCATCTGCAATATAAGCTCTAACTTTGAGCTCATAGTTTGCTCAGTGGTTCTCACACAGTGTTTATAAGATTCACCGTGCAGGGCTGTGTACACAAAATCATGTTTATATGGATATTTTTTATTGATTGATTGATTTTTGAGAGAGAGAGGGAAGGGGGGTGATCAGGGAGAGAGAGAGAGAGAGAGAGAGAGAGAGAGAGAGAGAGAGAGAGAGAGAGAGAGAGAAAACCATCAATTTGTTGTTCCACTTATGCATTCACTGGTTCATTCTTTTATTTTCTTTAAATATATATTTTTATTGATTTCAGTGAGGGAGAGGGAGAGATAGAAACATCAATGATGAGAGAGAATCATTGATCAACTGCCTCCGGCATAGGATCGAGCCTGCCACCCAAGTATATGCCCTTGACCGGAATCGAACCCGGAACCCTTCAGTCCACAGGCCGACACTCTACCCACTGGGTCAAATCGGCTAGGGCAAAAATGGGAATATTAATCATTCACCCTCCTCCCTAGTGCCAGCCAGCCTGAACTAATGCCCTCTTTATGACTCATACTGTCCTTCTGCCTGGCTGACTCCTCAGCATCATCCTTCAAGGTTCAATTTAGGATTCCCTCTTCTGAGAAAGCTAGTCTTCCCTGCTGCTCCCCACCGCCCCCTGCAGTTGGGGTGAGGAGCCGCTCCTGGGAGTTCTCCCAGTGCTTAAGCTTCCACCTGGCCAGTCAGCTACCCTCATCTGTTTCCTTAGGGTCCCCTCACTCGGCCTAAACCTCTTAAAGGCAAAAAAGGTGTCTACTTTACTTCTGGGCCTTATTATCACTTGTAAGAGTTTGAAAATTTTTGTTGAATAGAAGCAAATAGAAAGACATCTCTTTATGACTTCAAATAAGATAGCAGATGCAAACCTAATGCCTGAGACATAGTAGGCAGTCAGTAGTCGTCTTTCTCTTCACTCCTCCAACCCCAGGCAGTGCCCTGACACTGTCCCATAGTGGAGAAGTGACTTCAGTGGCATCTGCTGAGGGTGACCCTTCCTGTAGGAAAGGATGGAATTCAGACGGGAAACATACATTTTTGGAATAGTTTCAACTTGAATTAGTTTTAAGAGGATATAGGCTCATCAATGAGGACATTTTATAGAGTGATAAATGATGACCTCACTTCCTTGGAACATTTATAGTAAGTTAGCTTGCACATTAATTAGGTGATAATTGAGTTTTGGTATGGTCTGAGACTCAATATTAACACATTATTGAAAAATGATCATTACAAATCATAGCAATAATAGTTGTTGAAATCCACCATGAACATTATGAAGCCCATCAAATTCAAAGCAAAGACAAATTTTAAAGCGCAAATTCAGTCCTAGAGGAAGTTAAACTTTACTCACTGAAATTATTTATATATCAAATATGGGGTACAGATTTGATCAAGAGGTATAGACTATTTTGGCCACTAGAGGGAGCTCATACTTTAAAAAATATTTGGAGCAACTGCACCGTCCCAAGAATGGCCACTGTGGGTTTAAAAATTACTAATGATGTTGCCCTAAAAAATTAAAAAAAATTACAATAAATTTTGAAGGCTTTTTTTCCACTTTTTTAACATCCCAGGGGTTGGGTAAATGAAAAAAAAAATGTAAATCAATATGAATACATTAAAATTGGCTAGAAATGTTCAAAAGAGTAATCTCTGGTCACACATATTTATAGCTATGGATTTAATTTAGTTCCCCCTAACCCCCAGGACATAAAGTATATTTTAAAGGTGCTTTATTTTAAAAATCACATTCCTGCAAAAGTAAGAGTTATGGAATTATTTATTTTGTTTTCATTTATTCAAGAAATGAGAGAATTGATATCATAATTGTATCATTACATGTATGTGATACAAGTGATGTTTCAGGTATCAACCCCTGCAATGTCCCTACAGGCTACTCTCTTGACACCATTTCCATTGCCACAGGCCCGGGTGAAGGGTTGGCTGTTCTCCCCTGGATTGTCATGGTAACTTTCTTTTGGTCTCTCCACCTTCACTGACTACCCTGTCTGGTGTCTACCAAATGCAACTGACTTCATACATCACTCTCAGATTAATTTTCTTAAAACATAATTTTTATCACACCACTATTCTGCTCAGAAAACTTTAGTAGCTCCTTGCTTCTGCAAAACAGAGCCACAAACAGCCACTTGGCATCAGGATCCAAGTCAATTCCACCGCCTCTTCAGGCCCACAGCTCTGCTGGGATCATTCTCTTTTCTGGATTCTCATGGCAGTTTTTCTGTACTGATCTTTATTTTATAATTGCTTGGGGGCATGTCTTATATCACCGCCAGGAAGAATTTCCTTAAAGGAATGAGTTCTTGCTCAGATAGCAGAAAGGAAGCTTTGCCTCAGTGAATATATAATGTTGAAGACCTGCTTAAAAAGACCGTATTTGGGAAGCATTCTGAGGTGGGATTCATAAGCCCTGGCGTTCTGGTTATCTACTGCGGCATAACAAGCGATCTCAAACTTCGTGGCTTAAGTAACAATTTATTATTATCTTTCAAGATTCTGAGGGTCGACTAGGCTCAGTGGGGCGGTTCTTGCTTAGTCCCAAAGGCAGTTGCGGGCAGAAGGTGGCTGGGCTGGAGTCGTCTGAATGCTCCACCACGCTGGACATCCAACACGGCTTCCTCATGCTCATCCTGCCCAGGCTAGGCTGGCCGAGGTCTCTGGGGGCTGGTCCAGCGCTTTGCATTCTCTAGGAGGCTCCTCCATGTGACTAGCTTGGACTTCCTCAAGCATGGTCGTCTCAGGTTAGACTTCTTATGTGGTGGCTGACTTTCCCCCGAATGGACATTATCAAAACCCCGGTAGAAGTGGCGAGGCTTTTTGTGAGTTAATCTGGAAAATCACAGGGATCGCTTCCTCCCCAGGGCCAGCCCAGCTTCAGTGTGGGAGGGGCAGTACCACAAAGGATCAGGATATTGTGAGAGGGCCGTCTTTGGAGCCCAGCTACCGCACCTGCTAACGTTTCCAACATGGAAAACACCTTCATTTGAAGAGTGGAAGATAGATGCTCAAGATCAGGGGGTCCTCAAACTACGGCCCGTGGGCCACATGCAAATAAAAATATTGTATTTGTTCCCGTTTTGTTTTTTTTACTTCAAAATAAGATATGTGCAGTGTGCATAGGAATTTGTTCATAGTTTTTTTTTTAAACTATAGACCGGCCCTCCAACGGTCTGAGGGACAGTGAACTGGCCCCCTGTTTAAAAAGCTTGAGGACCCCTGCTCCAGATAGACCAATCAGGAGAACTGGAAAAGACCCAGGGACAAAAACAAAAAGGGATCAGTCAATTATTGCTTAATGCAGTCACAAATCTTTTTATTGATTTCAGAGAGGGAGAACAAGGGAGAGAACTATTAATGATGAGAGAGAATCATTGATCGGCTGCCTCCTGCACACCCCACACTGGGGATGGAGCCTGCAACCCAGGCATGTGCCCTGACCACAATGGAACTGTGACCTCCTGGTTCACAGGTCGACGCTCAACCGCTGTGCCCGGCCAGCTGGGCACCACAAATCTTTTTAAACACTTCTGGGCAAGCGGTGGGGTCTATGTTGCCCTCTCCCCCTCCCTGAAACAGGGCACGCTTTTCTGACTGTTTGATCCGATAGAGAATAGCAATAGTGATGCTATGGCCGAGAGGGTGGGGATATTTCTGCCTCACTTACTGGACTACTTGCTCTTGAAACCATCCGTTTCTAAATAAGCAGCCTGACTTCCTTAGGCCGCCATGCTGCGAGGAAGCCCAAATTAGGCCATGTGGGATATTGAATAGACACTGTCACTCATTTGTTGTCCTCATTTGGGTGTCATACGGGTTGGGGGCTGGGAATTCCTGGCCTCCCGGCTCTGGAGAGGCCAGGTCTGAATTCTCAGAGGCTTCACCGAGGGCCACGGAGTTGGTTGGGGGCTCTGGCAGGCCAGGTTTTGTAGCCCCGAGGACCCTTTTAAAACAAGACTTGGGGTGGTCAAGCATAAAGTCATAAGCAGGTAGGAGACAGCATATCCATCCAGGACTGTAGACTTTCCGCGTGTGCTCTCCCAGCTCAGGCTCAGGGCCCAGTGCCCTGTTCTTTCCTTTGGCTCGGCCTTTACAGCTTTTCCTCTTCCTGTAAATCTCACTTACAGGTCAAAGACTTGAGACGGGCCACAGAAGTGTGAAAAGCCTGGGTGGGAAAGGTGTTGGCACGTTTGGCTACAGCGCGATGGGAGGGAGCCAGGCGCAGGGCCCGCACTGGGCTTTCGTGCTCTGCCCACCGCGTCTCCGCAGCGAGTGGAACATTCTTAGGGGGAACAGCGTCCACTGACCTCATTGCAAGCAAACCAGCAGCATCCAGTTGCCTGTGAGAAGGAAGGAGGCGGCACTGAGACGCGACAGAGAGAAAGAGAGGAGCCGCAGTCCCCCTCGCAGACGCCCCAGTGGGGCCTCGGCGCCCGGGGACAAAGGCGCCGGCGGGGAGGGGCGCTACCCTCCGCCGCGGCCGCTGTCGGAAGAGAGAGCCTGGGGGGGCCCTGATTCTCTTCTTCAACAGCCTCGGGTCCCTCTTTCTGAAACAGCTGGTGCGGAGGGCCCCTGGCCTGGGGGGCGTGGGGGGGGGCCCGGGGCGCCCGGGGAGCAGAAGGCAGGTCTGCGCTTGTCAGGGGGCAGCCGGCGGCCCTGGGAGCCCTCAGGCGGAGGAGAGACCCGGCCAGGCCATTCCCAGGCTTCCCGACTCTCTAGGAACGGCGAGGAGGCACTGCCTTGGCCAGCTTCCTGCCATTCAGCCGGGAGCCGGGCCCCGGGGAGGGCTCGCGCTGGGAAAACAAATGCGCGAGGGAAGGACCAGGAGGAGGAAGTGGCAGCTAGGACGCTCCAAAGGGACCGCGGCTAAGCCACGGCCAACGCTGCAGAGCAGGAAGCGGAGCACAAACAGGATCTGAGCGAGGTCATTTGTTTGGGAGAGGAGCGGGGGAGGGGAAGGAGGGAGGGAGGGGGAGGAGGGGGAGGAGTGCTCTCGGTGGTTTGATGACGTTTTTTTTTTTTGTTGTGGTTTGTTGGGTTTGGCTTTTTTCTTTTTTTTTTTT